TTGGTCAAATTAAAACTTATAATTCATCCATGCAAACATTTTACATCACCGTTGGACAGAAGTAAAATTAATGCACAATTTCTCATGGATCAAAATTATAATATTGTTATAAACAACGTTGGTCAGAAAATAACAACATCATAATCTCATCAAAATTATCAGAAATTCATCACTTCTCTTAAAATTAAATTATCCCGTTGATTCAAATTTAATCAAAGGAGAACGAAAATTATCATGCACAGCGGAAACATTAATAATCTTTCATATTATTATTTTCCAGAAGCACTGAGTATTTTACTGTTTTCTGGCAAAATATCGTTGGATAATATTTGCACAGAAAAAATTATATCAAAATCATTCAAATTCATCAAAAAAATATGCATTAAAATTGCTCCGGGAAAATAATAACAAAAAAATTCTTTTCACTTCAATCCAGCGCGGCCCAGCTCGCCCATGCGCGCGGCCCGGCCAGCAGCGCGCGCTGCAGCGGCCCAAGACGGCCTAACGTGGCCCAGCAGCACGCGCGCTAGGGTTTTTGCCCAACGCAGCCGCATCTGAGCCGTTCATCATATCCGACGGCTGTCCGTTTCCATCGCGGGATCAAAACCACGTCGGCTGAGACGTTTCCAAAACCCTAAGTCATTTTCTTTCCTCCCCCCGCCTCTCTCAGTGGCACAGCAGTGGCGGTGCCCATGGCGACCGGCCACCACCGGCAAGGAGGAAGGGCACCCACCGGAGCAGGGTACCCGCCGGAGCAGATCCGGCCACCCCGCCACTTCTTCTTCCTCCCTCCCCTTCTCTGTTAGCCACGCGCAGAGCAGCAGCAGCTGGCGCCCACCCATGGCGGCCGGAGGAGAGGAAACGGCGGCGCCACCGCAGAGCTTCTCGCCGGCGCGCGCGTTCGCCCAAGGCTGAGCGCGCCATCGTCGAGTTGCTCTGCGTCGGTGCCCTGACCGGCGTCCACGTTAGTCGGTCCGGGTTCCAGTCCCGCAAGTCGGCGAGGGCCGACGGCTCGTTCTTTGTCCCGCGCGGTGGCGATGCCGCCGGCGGGATGAGGGCCCAGGTAGGACCTCATTCATTCATTCATTCATTCATGTTAGGGTTAGGGTTCGTTCCTGTTCTTTTCGATCTGAAATTGGTTCATTCGTTCGATCTTTCTTTTCAATAAAACTAGCTCTGGTACCAATGTTAGATTCATATTCATCAGATCGGAATACATCGTAATAGGAATACTTGTTCAAGATTTACGGTATATACACAAAACCTAATGCATGAACTACAGAGATATAAAAGGAAGAAAAAGGGATAGGTGGAGTAGGAAGTCACAGACCATCGAAGGCCGTAGTGGTCGAAGCAGTCGGAGTGGTGGAAGCGTCGGCCGGGTTCTCGTTGGCGGATGCCATCTGTGCGCCGGCAGCGACGTTCGGTGGAGAGAGGAGTCGGTGCAGTGAAGTGGTGGCGCAGTGGAGACGGTGGCGGCTTCCCGTCACTGGCTGCGCCCCTCTCGGATCGGGACGGGGAATATCGGTGGGGAGTGGCGGCTCAGGTAAACCTCGTATCAAGAGCCTGCCGGCCCCCACCTTTATTTATAGCGCGGTGTGACGGGGCCCACCAACCAAGTAGGATTGGGCGCCCCCGATCAGGGCGCGAGAACAAGGCCCAAAAGGCCGTTGGGCCTAATTGGTGGGAGATCAAACCTAACACTTTGATGCATGACAGCCGAGATACGGTTATATTTTCCGTCGCGAGAACATAATCGGCGGACAAGACGTTTTCAAGGAATCTGAAGCTGAGGAGGAGTAGAGCTCCGAGGGTTGACATTCTGGTTGCTGAAGTTAAGAGACGCAAAATTCTCGTCAACAGAGCTCATATGGTCTATATACACATCTCCGAGAGCCTTCTGGATGAACGAATCTTGACACCTATAGCAAACTGTTAGCAGCCTAATCAGGCATATCAGAGACCTATGTACAAATAACAAATATTCCGATCAACTTACGTTGGAATGCAGTGGGAAACAGCACAAACAAGGGATTCCAGCTAGGAGCGTATGAAAGCATTAAAAAAAAAGGAATTTCGTAGAGTAGTCTCCATCCAAGAATCCGTAGATCTTGTTTTGCTTAAAATTAGAAGCTAGAATCCGGAAGCAGACACAGATCGTGTGCCCCGTCTTGGGTACAGAGAAGATTTCGTTAACAAAAGAATAACAATGATAATGCTCTAGTTGCCAATTAACGATAGCGACTTAGAAAGGGACCCTGTAAGTGTAGGTCATGAACAACTTCGTGATTAAATAAATGTTACTATATACGTACTAAATGATCGAAACAAATTTTGTAGGGCCGCCAGGAGCATCTACCACGTATGGTTATTACCTACACAATTATATATATATATATATATGGGAGTGTCTAGTTATCTGTCCATAAATTTTTTGTGATCAAAGATCAAATTTGTCAGATTCTTTACACATGCGACCCAATAGACAATTGTAGCACAAATTCTAAAGCACAATTAAACGTATAAAAATCTGAGAAATTTAGTAAAAAAAAATCTGTCAATAGATAAATAGCAAAAGTCCATATATATTCCTGATCTAGGTTGAACGGCAAATAAACAAGGTACATATTTTTTAATGTTCTGATGAAGCCCAAATCTGCCTAGCCCAGTCCATTAGATCCATGAGGCCATGGCCCTTTGTGAGTGGAAACGTTAAGTTTGGGCGCACGAACCACACAGATCTGATTTGCTTGGTGATATAACACAGAAGTGACATGTAACCTTGCTTCACTAAATTAGTTGCCCTAGGAAACGTAATTTGGGCCCACGAAACACACTATCTATTAGGCCCATCGGGGAAAAAGTTAGGGTCACAAATTAGTCGGCTACAGTAGCCCGAGTTCGTGTAGAGATTTCATTTCTTCCCATTGCGGCAAGCATAACTTTTCTTTATCCAAACTTAAGTAATCAAATAGAATACATTCAACAAATTCTACACATCTATAGTCTTCAATTGTCAATATATGCGCCGACTTAAAAAAAATCAATTTTTGTTTTTTTGATTTCTCGGTCAAACATTAATAAAAAGATCATTTAATCTATATTAGAATCCTTTTTTCATCCAACAATGTCTCATGTCGCTAATAGCACTACTATTTATTTTACTATAATCATAGAGGCATGTCTGTCTACAGCAACAAGGTGGTTATAACAATTTCGTCAACCTTGAGATGTATAATATCATCTCAGTCTTCTTCCCATTGCGTTCGTGTGTTTATACGAGTGAATATACGTGCGTGTGAATGTATGTGTTTGTACTATATAATTCGTAAAAAAAACTATCTAGAGTTAAAATATTGCTCACCTATCACTGCACCTAGGAGGACCCCCTATGCATTCGTCGTATCTCGGATTCGATGCTAAGCACCGTCGGACGCTCAAAGTTGTGAGATGTGGAAAAGAAATTTAGTGGGAACAATGTCAAATCCTTAATTATAAAGCAGCTATCGACACCTGTTGATTCACGACGACATGTATAAATTTTGGAGACTACTGTATAAATTTAGGAGAAGTTATGTTATGTTCTCTCGACGTTAGATAATTACTTAGGAACACAGGACTTAAATATAGTGCTAGATACCCTGTAGCTCCCTATGGACAGATGAACGAAGAAAACTTGCCCTTAAGGGCATATGCTCTCATGTGTATCATGGTTAGATGTATATTGGGATGTGTGTGCAGCAGGAGAGAGAATTTCATGGGGCACATGCCCTTGTACTACCTTCAACAGAGTATCCATAAGGGCGCCTAAACCTAAAATGGGTCTTCAATGGTACTATATTAGCCTCTAACAGAGTACCTATATGAGAAACCTATTTTTTTTTAGCAAGAGATGCCTAACCAAAATATGAGCATCATCTCTCATAGAAACCCATTTTGCAGAAAGGGTTCTCTTGGAGAACATAAAAAATAAGTATTAAACTCTTTGTCTGTAGCGCTACCTAAATATCGAATGAGTCTTGTATTTTAGGGGTCGTTGTCGTCGGAAATAGTCTAGGCAAAAATAACTTTGCCATAGACAGGCCTTTCTAGCTCGGAGGACACCACTCACCGCCATGGCGCCATGCAATGCACGATTTGCAGTGCGCGAGTGCATCATCGAGGTTGGCAAGCCAGCGATGGTGCCATGAAGAGCGTTAACTGCCGCCGCCCCTGGCTCGTTGCCCACGTCCTCGGTTCCGCGCTCCCCCTCGCCACAGAGCCTGCAAGCATGGGCGGCGCCAGGGGTATTCCCCTGTATGCCATGGAATGCCCAAGATTTTGATGAGAAAAACAAATATAGATGAGTAGCAATGAGAGTATCAGTTGAGAACTTGAGATCAGTGAGCACTAATGATTGTATCCTTCGAATGCCAAGTTCAGATTTGCAGTGGAGATTGAGATTTCAAGAGAGATCTGATCACGTCTGACTCTGCAAGCCCCTCTAAAACGCGGCCGCACCTGCAGTTCCATTCCATTCCACTTCCACCCCACGCAACACCAAGCGCGCGAGAGCACCAAGCCACTCCCCCGAACCAGAGGTTCAATGCTTCTCGACCTCGTCGCTCTCACCGTGACAGCACACCGCTGCTGCAAGTGCAAGCTAGATCCATGGCGGCGGCCGCCGGAAGCTCCCGCGTTCTCCCCGCGCTGATGATCCTCACCGGCGTCTTCTTCCCCCTCGTTGCTCCCGGCGGCGTCGCCGCGGGGGCAGCAGCCGCGCCGCCCGCGGGGCTGGAGTTCCGCGTGGGCGGGCCCCGCGGGTGGCGCGTCCCGGACGCCAACACCAGCTACGACTGGTGGGACATGAACAACCGCTTCCACGTCGGCGACCACCTCTGTGAGTAGCTAGTAGCCTAAGAAACCATTTCACTTTCACCATTCATGATTCATGATGCATTGATGCGATGCAAGTGTGTGATAACTGCTGCGTATATATGGTTGATCCGATCCTCTTGCAGATTTCAAGTACGCCAACGACTCGGTGCTGGTGGTGGACCGCCTGGCCTTCGACGCGTGCAACGCCAGCGAGCTGCTCGCCGCGTTCGCCGACGGCGCCACCAAGTTCCGCCTCGACCGACCGGGCTTCTTCTGCTTCATCAGCGGCGAGGCGGGGCACTGCGAGGAAGGCCAGAGGCTCATCGTGCGCGTCATGGTGCACCCGGCCCTGGCCGCGGCCCCCGGCCCGGCGGCCTCCGCGCCTGGAGCTCCGACGACACAGCCGGGCGCGAGCCACGGCGGCGGCGGCGGGCGTCCCAGGCCGTCGGGGTGCTCGTGCTCCAACGCCTCCTCCGGTGTTGGCACAGCCGTCGCCGCCGCCACCGGCGTCGCCATCGCGGCGGCAATGGCTACGGTTGTTGGTCTCGTCTTGATGCTCCAGTGATCAGTTTGCTTGATGTGTGTGCAAACTCACATACTACTACGTACTCCCTTGTTAGATAATAGTAGTACTATATCCCTTGCCTAGTTTTCGGTTTCCATATTGTTTTAGGTTAATGACTCATGAAGTATTGGTACTGGTAATGTCGTGTCAGACAATTTGTTTTACTGAGTAATCATGTGCTGTTTATAGTACCTATGTATGTAGGGAGTATCTCCTCAGCAGGTGACTGATGGAAAAGATAATCCATCAGTCACCTTCACAGCCGTCGCGCCGCGGCCGTCCGTCTCTCGGCAGCGTATCGCTGCCCAGCATGCATCCCGGCGCTCCGCCTCTGCCCAGCATACAGCATCGCTGCCCAGTCTCTGTCACAGTCGCAGACCACGCCCCCACTCCCGGCCCGGTCTCTCTCACAAGCGCTGTCCAGCATGCAGTCTCTCAGGCAACTGCGTTCGAGGATTTCTCATATATGTAATGTGGTTCGTTGTCTTCTGCTCTTGTACTATACGGCATGTAATGTATTTTGCCTCCTTTTCATTTTGTGGCCGGAGGGTACGACATTCTCCTACTTATAGTCGCTAATTAATTTCTGAACGACGACATTCGCCTACGGCAAGTATGCCTTTCCTCCGTGGCCCTCCCTAAAACGCGCCATGCTCATCGATGAGCCGCTTGTCCATCTCCATTGGCCATTGCCGCTGTTCCCCGAGCGAGCGCCATGCACGTGCCACAATGGTGAATGGTTCCTGTTCTCGAACGAACAGTCTGAGATATTGCATGCATGCACGACGATCGATCTACAGCTAGAGTTGCATGACGATATGCACTTACATTCGCGGGCAAACTCCATGGACACCACCGCCGTCGCCGTCGCGGTGGCTGTCGCCGCCGCCGCTCTCCTCGTGCGGGTTGCCCATGCCGACATCAAGATAGCGCCCATCGTGTCCGACGCCAGGCCGATCATCTTCTTCGAGGAGTTTGGCTTCGCGAGCGGCGGTAGGGCGGCGGTCTCCATACGCCGCGCGACGTGGCAGCTCCGTCCGGGGTCGTCACGCCTCACCAGCGTCGACTCCAGCCTCATGGGGTTCGTGCTCATCGCCGGCGCCCAGTTCCCGGGGATCAACAACCAGACACAGTACTACGGCGCCGATCCGGAAGGAGGCGGCAGGTTCTGCTTGCTGACGAGCGACTACGCGCTCCCGATGCTCCGGCTCAGCGACGTCCCGCCGGGCGGGGTGACCACCACCGTGACCATCGACTACCCCGACGCGTACGCCGTCGTCTTCAGCAACTGCCAGGGCGGCGTGGAGGTCACCATGGACGTGCGCACCGAGATGTACAACGTGCGCCGCGACGCCTCCGGCGGCGGGATCATCAGGGACTACCTCCCCGTCGGGCTGCAGCCGCTGCCGGGCATCTACGCGGGCGTGGCGGCGGTGTACCTGGCGTTCCTGGCCGGGTGGGTGTGGACGTGCGTCCGGCAGCATGCCACGACGGAGCGGATCCACGCCGTGATGGGCGCGCTGCTTCTGTTCAAGGCGCTCAAGTCGGCGTGCGCGGCCGAGGACGCGTGGTTCATCGAGCGCACCGGCACGTCGCACGGCTGGGACGTCGCGTTCTACGTCTTCGGCTTCTTCAAGGGCGTCCTGCTCTTCACCGTCATCGTCCTCATCGGCACCGGCTGGTCCTTCCTCAAACCCTACCTCCAGGAGCGCGAAAAGAGCGTGCTGATGATCGTGATCCCGCTGCAAGTGATGGAGAACCTGTTGCTGGTGGTGATCGGCGAGACGGGCCCGACGCGGCGGGGCTGGATCGCGTGGACCCGGGTCTTCCTGCTCGTCGACGTGATCTGCTGCTGCGCCGTCATCTTCCCCATCCTCTGGTCCATCCGGGGCCTGCGCGAGGCCTCCAGGACCGACGGCAAGGGGCGCGCAACCTCAAGAAGCTGACGCTCTTCAAGCGCTTCTACCTGGTCGTCGTCGGCTACCTCTACTTCACCCGGATCATCGTGTCAGCGTTCCTCGCGCTGCTCAACTACAGGTACCGGTGGGGAGTCGATGTCGCAGTCGAGGCCGCGAGCTTCGCCTTCTACCTGTTCGTCTTCTACACCTTCAAGCCGGAGGAGAAGAACCCGTACTTGTACATCGGCGACGAGGAGGAGGAGGAGGAGGAGGTCGACGGTGGGCACATCGAGACGGACGATGGGGCTTTCTGGGCTCTGATTCATGGGATGCAGAGCCGTCTCCTGCCTAAAAGTCTTGTACGTATGATGTACTCCGTACGTGCTACTTAGGCTGTGTTTGGTTCGTGAAACGAAAATTTTTGACGTTACATCGGATATTTCGGGAATGTCGAAAAGAGTTTTCAAATACTAATAAAAAAACTAATTACATAGCTCGTCTGAAAATCGAGAGACGAATTTATTAAGCCTAATTAATCCATCATTAGCGCATATTAGTTACCGTAGCACTTATGACTAATCATGGACTAATTAGTTTTAAAACATTCGTCTCACGATTTCTAACCAAACTGTGCAATTCGTTTTTTTTCGTCTATATTTAATACTCCATACATGTACCGCAAGATTCGATGTGATAGTTCGCGTAAGGTCTCAAAGTATATAAAAATAGATCAGATACGATTATTTTGTGTCCATATAAGAAAATTCGTTCATTTGTCCCCGAGAGGGAATAGTGAAAATGCTGAACAATCCAACAATTCCACTGTGAAAGCACTCCGCAGCTTCTTGGGTCTTGCTGGTTTTTTTAGCAAGTTTGCGGGACACTTTGTCATTATTGCAAAGCTCCTCGTCAACCTGCTCAAGAAGGCTTAAAACTGCTCAAGAAGGCCAAAAGGGGACCCTCTTTATTTGGGTCACCAGACTGCGTTGAAGTCTGCAACGAGCTTTGCGGCTCTGCCCCGGTTATACCGTTACCAAATTTCAACAAGCCATTCTCTCGCGAAACAGATTAGATACGGCGACTGGCGCTTGCTTTTATTTTTTTTCTAATGTCTTATATATGGGACCCACAATGGATACCGAAGTTCTGGCCTAGCAGGAGTGATACTGGATTCTCACATGTGGACCTTCATTTTTTCTAGCTTCACTCGACATTGTGGAAGGCCTAATTACAATGAACAAAAGGCTAGACTGGTTATTGAACCGTTCATATCCTATTGGTTCCCTATTTGGTGGTTGTCACGTGGTTCAATCTGTTGAACTGGGTTTACAAATTGCCATTGTCGATAAAAGCAACAAATCAAGTGAGATGATCACCAGATACAACTCCAATGTCCAAACTATAGTAGACCAAAGTTTGATTCCCCTCCACACCCCTTAGGGCCCGTTCGGTTTCCTAAGATTGCACCAGGAACAATTCCAGCTTCTTAAGATTAGTACAAATTATTGAATTATTTCTCCTAGGAATTATTCCAGAGCCCTATTCCGAATCAACCGAACAAGCCCTTAGTGATTTTGTGCATATCGGGTTAGTTTATATAAACTTGTCGATAATTTCAGGGGTTTTCTGGTTCAACAAGTAGACCCTATTGATTTTCTTTTACTATGCACCTTGCTCAAAAATCAAAACAAGAACAACTAACAACAACTAAAATTATTCGAACTTAGTTGATTGTGCATGCATAAGGTACATATTATTCTTTAGAACTTAGTTGATTGTGCATGCAAAAGATATAGATACTAACACGTACAAGAGATCAATAATCTAGTCTTGCCCTAAGTCTAATCTCATGAACTTTAAGCAAGTTTTCAGAAATCTACTATTATCTACAAGTTCAAATAAATGTACTATCAGGATATATTTTACGAAAACTTTAATAAAACTAATTTGTCAAGGACGTTGATGTATTTTTTATAACTTGGTTAAATTTAGAGAATTTTGGTTTACAACAAAAGTAAAGCAAAATATAATTTGAAACGGAGGCAATACTTTGTTTTGTGGTGGGGTGCCAGCACGAGAGCATGACAAAAGGGGAGCGTGACCGTACTTGGCTTTTGGTGGCTTGACAGCAGAGGACGAGTCGTTACATCTGCATACACACATGCAAACAAAACAGATCATATCTTTGTTAATTGGATGGACATATGGTTGCACGAGTGATATGAAATTATGCAATAATGCTGCTAAAACTTAATTAAATACGTAAGATATATGATTACTACGCAATATAAAAACATAAACGATGATCATTTACACTTGAAGTGCTATGGAAAATAAAAAGAAATGTGTGCACCTTTGGGTGCAAACACTCCATGCTTCATCAGTTGATTTAAAGATCAAAGAGGGAGTCAAATTTTGGTGTGCGGCTGGATGTCTTGCAATGCTTTCTCTCAGCTTGAGATTGTCAGGACGTTTTTGTTAATTTTTGAAACATAACAACCTTGTAAAGTCCTCTTTCAATACCGTGATTTTCAAAAACAGGCATCAAGTTTATGCAAAACAAAACACAAGTACAATATTATTGACAGTTTGACACGAGCAGAAGTTCACCAAATCAAACAAATAAATTTCTCCATCGATGTCTCATAGACGTATATATATGCACACGCGGGCCGGAGCGACCATAATCACCTTGTTCCAGCCAATTAAAAGTTGTGATCAATCCGCTCCGCCGTTCTCTGGCGTGCCTCAGCGGCGGCAGGGCATCCAGAGGCGGAACCAGGCATTAATACCCTTATTAATAATACAATACAAAGCATATTTAGCTCATTTTAACTCATATTTTATCATAGTGTTGTGTTTTTTTTTTGTTACGAACACTAACCACAACATATGTAGAAGCATAGAAAAAAATATGTTGAAATGTATACTTATGTACATATTTATCACACATAAGATGTGTCATTGTATTTGTCCGCACACCTAATCACAATTGCTGGTTCCGCCTCTGCAGGCATCCACTGTAGACACGGCGTAGGGAGCCCGCGACGCTGCGGCGGCATGGCCCACCTTGACCTTGCATGTCACCCCCTCCCACCCGACCACACTGGGCTGCCTCACGACAGTGAGCGCGACCTCGAACTCGGCCACGCCGCGCCGCAGGTCCCGGGCGAGCGCGGCCCTCACGAGCCGCGGCACGCGCACACCGCTGCCCCAGGCGACCACGGACGCTCGTCGCTCCGCGGATCGCCGCGGGCCCATGTAGAGGCTAGGCAACGATGCCTCGCCGGTGAGCTGCACGCCGTCGTAGTGTACCCGCGCGCACCGCCGACCCGTCATGGAAGCAGCAGCCCCTGGTGAAGCTCCGCGAGGCGACGCCGACCATTAGGCTGAACTCCGGGTCGAGCGTGGGCCGCCGCTCGCTCAGCACCGCCGACGGGTCGAGGCCGGCGACGCTGTCGACCGCGACGTGGTGACGCGGCTGCTTTGCCTCGTCCGCGGCGCTCCAGATAGCATACACAAGACCGCCCAATCCAGTGAGGACGGCGCACCCCCCGAGGATGTCTACGAGGTAACGGACGTCATCTGGGGTTTTACATCCTCGTTGCCGTTGTTGGCCGGAGGCACCACCGTGGGCATGTTCATTTGACCCTAAATCCAAGGAGATTGAGAGGGATTCAATCCCCTACAAATCAAAATCTCACTCTAGCCACTTCAATCCCTCCCATCTCAAGATAAACCAACATGACTTGAGGTCTTGTTTGGATGCATATGTATATCCACCTCAATTCATATGTGTTGTAGTGAAATGGAATATAATTTAGTTCAATTTCACTCAAATCTACTTTTAACACATGTGAATTACGATGAATACATGTGCGTCAAAACAGTAAGTGAGTAGGAAGCTCCGGCGGCGGAATCGCACGCAGTCATCGTACGTGTTCGGTGCGGGAGGAGGGCCGGGTGCTGGGGTTTTATGATTCTCTAGTGGATGCAGATTTTATACTAGGTTTTTAGGATTCGGGGTAAGCTGTTGTCATTATTCTGGATTTTAAACTCCTTGGAAGATTGGAGCAACATTCCGTTACATGGAGATAGAAGGCAAAACTTTGGACGTGTCGCATTCGGTTACGGTTAATAACTGAACGTTTAGGATAATGTTTCGAGAACAAACAAAACAACAGACATAATCAAGTTGATCTCCCGCCATTCTCGGATTTGACAAGGCCCTCCTACACACAAGAGTGAGTACATTAGTTGTTGTCTCGTATCTCGTAGACAGTCTCGTACAATATCACGTAATTTATTTATTTCAGATTAATACTTTGTAATTTCAAGATGACATAATAGACCCACGAAAAAAATAACGCGCTATTTTGCCGCTATAGCACGCTAATAGCGTCCCAGATAGCTCGCCGCGACGATATCTTGCATTTTCACGCTATACGCGCTATTGCCGCTATAGCGCCATAGCGCGCTAAATCGCCGCTATTGCTGTTTCATGTGCTGACAAAAAAAAACGAGGCAGAGTCAGATTTAGGCCCATCTTGAGCCCTCTAACCCTAATCCAGAGTACCCTCCGTTATTGTTATTTCATGTTAGCTACTGAATATTTGAACCTTATGGATGTTTAGACTGTATGGAAGTATGAAACTATGAATATGTTGCCTGTTTGGACTGTTTATTTTTTTTTTTGCCTGGCTATATATAAATAGCGCGCTATAGCGGCGATATAGCGTGAGCAGCTATCTCACGCTGCGGCGCTATAGCGGCGCTATAGCGACGCTATAGCGGCGCATAGCTCCCAGGAGTGGCCGCCGCTAAATTATATAGCGCGTGATTTTTTTCATGGTAATAGACAATATATAAATGTTGTCTTATACATATAGAATAAAATTAAAGTTATGAGCTGCATAACAACAGCTCATACAATGGAACAAAAGTTGTCTTAATAATTCGTTTTAAAAAGAAATAGTTGTCTTATAGTCGTATATTTTAGCTCATGAGATGGTTGTTTCGCGAAACGACTCTTTCTCTCTTTCCTCTCTTTTCTCCACATCAACGAAATCCTATGTAGTGGTATGAGACAGAGTATGAGACAACTGACCTATAGCAATGTACTTGCCCTAAGGAGGCCCTAAGAACATATTACGAGCCCTAGCTTTTTTAAGGAAAAAATCCAATTTATCTTCCTCGACTATTGTAGTCGTTCGATTTTCCTCCCTAAACTACCAAACCAGTTTTTTTACCATTCTCAACTTTTACAACCGTTGGTTTTTGCACCTTGTGTAGTTTTGATGATAGTTTTGCTGATGTGGTGCCGCATCAAAGGGGGGTAAATGAGACCAAACTAAAATTTTAGGGAGGTAAATCAGCATATAAGATAGGGTGGGCGTTGGTCCTTTGCCCTCGATAATTTTTCAAAGTAGTTGTGTTAGCCTGCGTGGTTGCATGCACCCTACCGCACATACATAGTCCTGATGATACTCCGTTGGTGCTTCTACATAGTTGAACGATCAACGATAGCTTCTACTAGCAAATAATAAGCACTAAAATGAGTGCATCAAAATTTAAACAATTTGAAGCTAGGCACCATAAGTAGAGCATGATTTTAGAAAAAAATTCTAAAACTGGTTTCTTGATTTTCCAACGTAAAACAAATTTTTAAAGATTAAATCAGATTTTAAGATTTTTAACTGCATTATTTTTCATGAGAAAAATATTTGGATAACTTTTTGAGAATTTATTTTTTCTGATTTTGAATTTTCAGTTTCATCCGACTTGCTCTCTTCAGACGCAACAAAACCACCCAAGGCATAAAAACAAACGTTGAGGAGGGTAAAAAACTGTTTTTTTTAGCTGAGGAAGGAAAATTGAACACGATAGTTGAGGAGGTGAATTGGTCTTTTCTCTTTCTTTTTTTATGTGAGAAAATCTTTTTGTTACGAAAGATATGCGAAAATCATTTGCTCCGACATTCTTGCGGAAAAATTGCATCCCATACTCCCATGTAAAGGACGAAGCGGTTGTTCCTTGTACGAGAATCATTCAAATCAAACTATATATTAGTTTTACGAACTGCCTCTTAATAAAATTCTGAGAAACAAAAGTTTAAAAGCACGAGTACTTATCATCTCAAGCAATCCTAAATTACTTGAGAAAAAAATTGAAACTGAGTTCCTCATCATGTCAATCTAATGGTGTCCCCCACCATCCCCCAGCCCTTGGCCACGTCCCGCCACCCGTACTCATCGCTCTCGATGAGCTCGACCTCGAACATGGCCTGCCCGCTCCTCATCTCCTCGGCGAGGCTGTCCATCAGGAACCCCGGCACGGCGACGTCGCGGCCGCGCGCGACGACGGACGGCAGCTCCCTCGACTCCCGGGGCCCCACGCGCACGTCCGGCACGTGGCCGCTGGCCATGGGGAGACGGAGGTGCGAGTAGGACACCTTGACGGAGGTGCCGGGGCCGATGCGCGCGCCCTCCCACCGGCTGTGCGAGGCGACACCGACGGTGAGGTTGAACACCGGGCTGATGAGCGTGCCCGCCGGCCCCCGGCTCTGCTGCCGCAGGTCCGTCTCCGGGTCAAGGCCCGAGACGTCGGTGATCGTGGCGGTGTAGATCGGCGTCTTGAAGGAGTCGAACATGTAGGTAAATCCCACCACGATACCGGCCACCGCGGCGGCGATGCCGACGCAGATGAAGAAGTCCTGGCATCTCTTGCTCTTGCTGCCGCCGGATTCACTGGACGCACCCATGGTTAACTCTGTTTTGTCCTGGGTTTTTGACTTTCGATGGACGATTTGTCTATGGCTTCTTCTCCAATTCGAAGGGGATGATGGACATGGCCGCGTGTGGGCTTGTTATAGCGCCCTCTGCCACGGGTTATCCAAAACGGCTTCACTGGTGAAGTCAAAGCTGGTGAAACCAGAAAAATTGGTTTTTTTTCGGCTTCTAGTTCATTTTAACCTCGGCTTACAAAACGGCTTCACGCTATAGTGCCTCGATTTGTGCAAAATAGATGAAGCCGAAGTCGACATAAGTCGTGCCAAAGAGGCCCTATATATCGTCCGTGGACTGCATGCGCGTGTGTATTGCTAGAGGCAACTTATCATGTGTAAATCAACTAACATGTGTAAACTTGGAAAACTTTCAATCAGATCACTGAATGCTGATCCAATGGATAGGGTAAGAGATGGAATTTTTTTACGCTTAAGCCCCCCACCCGCCGTTCTTTTTTTTATGCTTAAGCCCCCTCACCCAATCCATTAGATCAACATCCAGTGGTCCTGATTGGTAGTTTTCAAGTTTGCACAGGTTGGTTGATTTGTACATGATATGTTGCCATTGCTAGAGGACTAGCTTGCTGTCACGTATGTACCAAACTTTGTATGCAACAAAGAGCCCCGTCAGCAACACATTGACATTGCCTTCTGACGGAGAAGAAGACGCCATCCACGACAACAACGCTCTTGGGCTAAGACCAGGTGCACGTGAACGGCGGCCCATCGTACGAGCCCAAGGCCCAGAGTGGGTGTGAGCATTGGCGGCCAGGCAGGGGCGGAGCCAGGATTTGAGATAAGGGGGGCAATGAACAAAGCAACGTAGAACTGATAGCCACGTGAGCTGGTTTTAGTCATATATAATGATATAATAATAGCATGTTTCACAAGTCTTAACCAAAATAAAATTACATATCTATCAACTTAAATTTAGCTCTTCGACTAGCAGCAAGATTGTACGCTGTAATAATATCATCAGTACTGATTGATGCAGCCAATTCCTTCTCAATATAAATTACCAAACAATCCCGCAGAAATCCATCTCCCATTGTACATCTAAGACGTGTCTTCGCAAGTTTCATAGCTGAAAAGCATCTTTTGGTGGTTGCAGTTGATACTAGAAGAGTTAATACTAATCTTAATAACATGTCCACCATGGGATAAGATAAATATTTTTCTGTTTTAAATAGTCCACTTGTTATAGCAGCAAGTGTTGATAATTCCTTTAGTTCTGTACTGTTGCATACATCAATTTAAAAATGTGGCAGCTGGCACTCCAATTGAGCTCTTTCTTGACTTGGGAAATCAACATGATAATATTTTTCCACCAGAGTGCATATATTATCAATGTTGAATGTGTCCAGCCTAGGATCCAAAGAAGCACAAAGGGACAAGAGCTCTGTGGCTTGAGAACTGAATCGATCTTCTAACTCTACTAGTTGTTGATCAATTGCAACATTAAACACATCTACTTTGTAATGGTGAAAGGATGTGGCGTTGTCATTCTTGTTTCGAGATTTAGTCACATCAACATACCTACAAATAGGAAGATATGGATTGATTGATGAACAAATACAATTTTACAAAAGAATAAATAATTTGGGGAAAAATATACTTCTTACTCAGATCCGGAATATCAATCTCGTGCTTTCCACAAAACAATTTGACCTCCTCAAAAAGAGGTTCACGGCCATTATTTCGCAACTCACCAAGCAACACTTTTGTGGTAGAAACAGAATCCACCGCATTTAAGATATCAATGCTCTTCTTTTGGAGTGTTTGGCACAACACATCAGTGATCTTCATAATCTTTTCCATTAGGAGTAGAATAAACACAAAATCAAATGTGACAATGATTCGTAAGGCACCACTGTCATCTCCCGGAGAATACTTCGAAACTGAACGATCATTAGCAATGCTGCGTAGGACTAAAATTGTGGCACCAAACATCTTCTTTAAGCTTAGAATAGACCTATAGTGGGAACTCCATATAGTGTCCCGTGGCCTTTGTAGGGAGGAAATCTGATTTGCCCCTCGCCTTGTGTCAAGCTCTCCTAATTCAATTTCATGGGCAATTTTCTCTGCTTGTTTTGCTAGCAACTCATCATTGCGCTTAGGAGAAGTACTAACAACGTTTATGATGAAATTTGCATGCTGAAAAAAAATTATGTACCTCATGTACCTCCCTTGATGCTGCTATAAGGGCCAACTGAAGCTGATGAGCCATGCAATGAATATAATATGCATATGGGCACTCATTGAGAATTAGAGCTTTCAATCCGTTCTACTCCCCTCTCATGTTACTAGCCCCATCGTAACCTTGACCTCTTATATCTTGTGTGCTTAGGCCATTAGCTGAGAGGACAGCACAAATTGACTCTTTAAGTGTCAAAGCTGTAGTATCACTAACATGGATCAGATCAAAGAAACACTCCTTTATAAGGCCTTCCTTGTTGACAAATCGGAGGACTATTGCCATTTGCTCTTTTTTGACCCATCTCAAGCTTCATCAACCATTATGCAAAATTTGTTTTTCCCAATTTCTTCTCTAATTGATTTCTGCACTTTTCGAGCAAGTATGCTTAGAATTTCCTTTTGGACATCAGGTGAAGTGTATTTTGCATTTTTGGAAGCATTTTCCAACACAACCTCATTAACCTCCGTGTTATAGGAAGCCAAAAGCTTGACCATTTCAAGAAAATTACCCCTGTTTAAGGAATCCAGAGATTCATCATGGCCTCTAAAGGGACAACCTTAGAATGTCAACCACCTATAAGTACATAAAGAAAGCAAGTTAAATTTAAATACTGTAGAAAGACATGAGAAATTGATCTTATTACCTAATGCAATCAATCGTAGTCGCAAGCCTTCGTCTTCCTTTTGCAACCATTATCTTTTTTTGCTTAACAATCACATTGTCAATTTAAGCCATTGTGTTCTTAAGATTATTAAAACACCGAATAGAATAATTGTGGGCTGAGCCATCATCTCCCATGTGTTTTAGAAAAGAACATTCATTTCTGCAATTAACTTTCTTCCAGTTCTAAAACCCCTTTACTATGAATGTATATGATCCAACTTTCTCAAATGACTTCTTGGAAAATAAAAAACATGGCAGATAGTAAGCACGATTTGTATGAGGTGAATATTCTAGCCAAGTAAATTGCTTGAACCAGTTACTCTGAAATCGACGACGATGAGCTAATTCACTGAGTGGGTACTCTGCCAACACAGGTTGATATGGACCCTCTGAAATATAAAATCTCCAAGCTTCATCTTGTTGATCAGCTGGCAGTTTCAATATTTGAACACGTTTACCAGGGTCTCTCTCAAATCTAGTAGCAACAACTGGTGGATGCTCGGCAACCTCGGCTTCGATTGGTTCAGCGGTAGCAGCAACATTACTCTGATTATTAGGACTTTGTACATGATCATTATGAGTTTCCCCTTCCATATTAGGAGCTTCCACTTGCACGTTACTCTGACCGCCTCGGCTTGCAATGGCTTCAATACAATTAGCACTTGAACCAATCGGCTTAAAAAAGCTATTGATGGTCTTTCTCTTCTTCATATTGTCTAAAATTAGAAAGGGAAATTTAGAATCACTAGTGACTATTAATTAGATAAGAGAATATCACTGGAGAAAGAAAAGAACAGAACTCAGCAGTGATAGATAAAAAGTTTGGAGCAAGAATCCATCCGCTTTTGAGACATTCAATTGGATTGGAAAGAAAATCATCTGTACATGCATCATGAAACACATAAACAAAAAATCCCCAAGATCTATAGCCTAGAAAAATGAAGATAGGAGAAAACAAGCTAGAGAATGACACAAAATCACCAAATGAACCACAGTCCACAAATACGCTGCTGCGCATGGCTCCATCATGGCATCATCCTTGTCCTTTTTGACTGGCGGCGGCGGAATATGAAGTGACATGAATAGAGGGGCGACTGGCGACTGTTACCGTGCGTCCGTGCTACGTAATGATTCCAGGGCTAGAGTTTAGACTTCAGAGCCTCAGAGGCTTCTTAATTTTTTATTGGGCCAGGCCGCCAGGGGCAGGGTGACAGGCTCCCAGGCCGCCAGGGGGTGCCAAGTAGAGCCATAGAGGCCCAGGCCACCAGGGGCCACTGTAGATGCCGCAAAGGGTCAGGGGGTGCCAGGCCCCCTCGTGCCCCCTCCCTCCGCCACTACGGTCAGGAGAGGCATGTTCGAGTAGTATTTGTGCCGTTCAGAGGGGAGAGGAGATTCATGAATGAATAGAATTGTAAACTCGCTTTTAAGCACTTCCTGTTCTAAGTGAGATTCATCCGAACTATCCTATCTCCATTGCTTGCTGCTCGATCCCTACTCTACTCTAGATACTGCTTACATTTGGTATCAGATATCCGTCGATTCCTCCTCCCGCTTCCTCAATCTCTACCGATTTTGTTGATCTCTTGCAATGACTTTGGGTTGTTGTAGTCCGGTCGAAGGCAATTCAATTTGGATTCACGTAATTCCCCAGCACGCGAGAGGTCCGATTCGGTCCTGGCTCACCAATCCCCACCGCTACCGCCGCCGCCGCACCCTCATTACACGCGTTTCACTCATAGCAGGGGCGCGATGAATCCTGATTCAAAGTTGCTCCTGGATGAGATGCATCGCCTCTTCAAAGAGCAGAAGACACAGATCAATGAGCGGTTTGCTGAATTGGATCGCAAGTTGGACGAGCGCTTCACCGACAACAGCCGCAAGCTCGACATCTGCTTCACCAAGATCGACGACAGCATCAACAACCGCATTGCCGAGTTCGACAACACCATCACCAAACGCCTCGTCGACTCCAATCTGAATTGGGAGCAGTGCATCACCGACTCCAAGCTCTGGCAGTCCGTGCTCATCGCCGACGTCGCCAAGTCGGCTGAAGCACTCGAAGCCTAGCGCCAGGAGTCATAGGGTGCGATCGACGACCTCAAGCTCAAGGTCGACAAATTGACCAAGTACTAGGATCGAACCTTCCTCGACCAAGCTGTGGCTTCGACGGGAGTGATCTCCTCTGCACCACCTATGTCGGAGCAGACCGCCGAGCGCTCACCTGCTGGCAATATTGAAAGTACATTTGCCCCCTATGTGGATTTTGGTGTGTTGATGACATCCAAATTAGGGACTAATGAGATCTTAATGAGATATATTGTAGCTTTAGTCCCTTGAAAGCTTTAAAAGAGTTGATCTAAGATGAAATGGTATCCCTCAATTCTTCAAGTGCAAAAAGCAAACTAACCCAAAGCGCTCTCCAAAGCCTTTTTATTTTGATTTGGGTTTAGGTATGTCATACTATAAAGAGGGATGCAAGTTTAGGTGGTCTAAGGAAGATAGAGTGCTGAAGCATAAAAATAAAATCAAAAGAGAGACAAAATTACCTCATGAACACTTGGACATAGTTTATGGACTTTTGGTAGCCGGAAGTCATGATGTTTGGTGCCGGAAGTCCCAGCGCTTGCTGACTTAGCCGTAACCCGCCTACGCATCTTCGTCCGTCGGAAGTCCCGACGGGAGTCGGGAGTTCCGGGTACCGGAAGTTTCGGTTCCCTCCAGAAGTTCCGACACTTCACAACTTAGCCTCCTGTGCATCTTCGCCCATCGAAAGTCCCAACTAGAGTTGGGAGTTTCGAGTGCCAAAAGTTCTGGCTCCCACCGGAAGTCTCGATGCCTAGGGACTTAGTCGCATGGCTCATCATGTCTGTTGGGAGTCCCGACAGAAGCCGGAAGTCCCGGTTGCCGAAAGTCCCGGCGATCGCCGGGAGTTTCGACGATATGTGAGCAAGCCCAGTGGACTATCTATGTGAATAGTGTTTTTGCGTTGAGCTAGAAGTTTCGGCGATCTGTGTCGGAACTTCTGACTCAGATCTGAACAGTTAGATTGGCCTTTGAGTATAAATAGATCTATCATCTCTTCTAACCGAGAACCACTCATTCATTGCTCACCAACCTTACTCTAAAACAGCTCCCAAGCATTCAAGACACCCCTCTCCTCTTCCCTTTGGTCCAATCTTTGATTCGCCTAGGGTCTTGAGTGAAAGGAGAGTGGATTGAGTGAGAGAATCACTTTGGCAAGCTTGAGCACTTGATTTCTTCGTCAATCCGATTGGATTTGCGTCTATTACTCTTGGGTTCTTGGAACCCTAGCCGGCTAGGCGTCGCCCAAGAGCTTCCATCTTGTGGAAGAGCCTTAGGAAGTTTGTATTACTCTTGATTTCCTAGTGGAAAGCTCAAGTGACCTTTGTGGTTGCTTTAAGAGAGGCAAGGAGATGGAAGAGACTCTGACCTTTGTGGTCACCTCAACAACGAGGACATCGGAGCTCCTTTGTGGGGTTGTCGAATCTCGGGATAAATTCTTGTGTCTCGCGTGCTTGTTGTTGTTGTGATTTATGCTATCATATTTGTTCTAGTTGGCTTGTCTTCCTCCCCAACTCTCCTCTTAGGGTTTGGACTCGATCTAAGAAGTGGTTACCTTTCGGAGTCAAAGAAGCAACCCCAACACTTCACCTTACCACTAGGGAGTGGGGTTATAAGATATCTTTCACCCAAAGTTCGTTTTAGCACTTGTAGTGTAATTCTCGTAGGTGTCGAAACTCCCTGTTGTTTGCGTTAGAACTTTCAGGTGCCGGAGGTTCTAGCCCAAACTGTCGGGACTTCCGACTGTCACTAACATTTGACTTTGAGAGTACGCAAAAAAATTTAGACATGCCTATTCAACCCCCCCTCTAGGCATTGTTTAGATCCTTTCAATTTGTATTAGAGCAAAGTCTTCTTTTAGCGCTTCACCGCGTGAGAAGAAACAATGTCGGAGACCGACAAGATGTAAACCGACGCCATCGAGATGGCCAAGAAGATAGCTGAAGAGTTGATGGCTACTCAAGTCAAGTTCTTCCAAGATGAAATGAAAAAGATGCAAGATGAGATGAACAAGATGAATGAAGAATTGAGCAAGAAGGTTGATGAGGCAATAAATGGAAAGAATGATGCAACAAGTGGCAAGAATGAAGCAAACAAAGATGCCGCTAGTGATATTAGAGCCGGTGAGCATGCTCATGGAAAGGGAATATATTCAAACATGAACTTTGACTATGGGCAACTCATTGAAGGTTCACCTCTACATACCCCTTCTGTCAACATTGGCAAGCCACCTCACTTTGATGGAACAAGATACACCGATTGATCATACAAGATGAGATGCATCTAATTGCCGTAAGACTTTGGGAAGTTGTGGATATTGGTGTGATGATTCCTACAGATGAAGATAGAGAGATAACTCCGAAAGAAGTGCACAATCTCCATCAAAATGCACAAGCCATAGCATTACTTATGTCAAGCCTAAGTCCGGACGAGTTTAGAAAGGTAAATGGAATGAAAAGTGCAAAGCAAATTTGGGATACTTTGAAAGTATCATTTGAAGGAGATAAGAGTGTGAGAAAAGGCAACATTGAGTTACTTCATGGTGAATTGGAAAGATTTGTGTTCTTGCAAAATGAAACAACACAATCCATGTTTGATAGGCTTATGGCATTGGTCAACCACATAAGAGGTCTTGGAAGCACCGAATGGGATGACAACAAGGTTGCTAGAAAGATGTTGAGAACCTATAGAGCCAAGAGCAATATGCTAGTTGATGAGGACATCGCCACGCTGGACACACCGACGCCATGGGCTTCCCCAAGTTGCAATTCGTTTCCAACTCAGCTGCCACGTCACCCTCGGATTCAGCAGACACGTCGTCACTGTTTCGGTCATAACTTCCTCATACGACGTCGAAACGGGCCGTTCTTGGATGCGTTGGAAAGGGGACGACGACGCCGTCGTTTTGGATCTGGTCCCAGCTCCAGAAGGTCTGTGGATCATTCTGTGTGACCACGGCAAGGTGCTGCGTCACCTATTTGGGCCAACTTGGCCATGTATCGTGTCGGGCCTTAAGCCCAAGTTGTGGGCGCCCAACCCCTGGCCGTCCCCAACCCTAGGTCGAGTCTTAGACTATAAACACAGCCGTCACCGCTGCTACACAATTGGGTTTTGTTTAGAGTTTAGTTTTCCATCGAGAAACTGAATCGTTCATTGTAACTGTGGTGACAAATCCTTTTACAGTGATCCAGGGCCCCCGTTCTTGATCTCCTCCACTGTGTCGATTAGTCCTTTGGAACCGAGTTCTTGAACCTTCTATTGATATTCGCGTCATTCATATTTGCAATATCAGATTGCGTGTTTTACCTTCTTGCTTGTGCTCTTCGATTCGCTTGCAGGAAAAGCCTTCTTGGCGAGGTCAATCAAGTTGTGCTTGGTTGATAACCAACGGAGCAGTGGTGTAACGGTTGCAGGGTTCGAATCGCGTCTGATTTGAAGCCGGATCGCCAACGTCGAGATCTCCACATATCGAACTTACCGGCTACCTCTCGGAAGATCGGGCCTGTACTCATCAATTGGTATCAGATATTTCAGGTTTACCGCGAGGTATAATCTCGTTTGTCTTAGATTCATATTTGTTCATTACCTAGAGTCCACAAAAAGCCCAAAAATATTTCAATTTCCGCTGTCCTATCGCCCTTTGTGCCTTTGCAATTTCGTTTCAGATTCGTGTTGTTGAGTTTGTGTCCGTGGTCGAGTCTTGTTGCTGGTTTAGGATTGTGTTCGTGGTCGTAGTTCAATCGCCCGTTGCTGTGATTTTTGTTTTCCGCCGCTATCCCATCCACCGTTCCCAAACAACAAGTCGAAGCCACCACATTACTCGACTTGCCCCGCTAGCCGCCTTGTGTAACTTCTCGCATGAAGCCCTAGATAGGTTGCCGTACCGCTCTTATTTTGCTCGCATCGCAGCCCTCCTTACATCATCGGTGAATACCTACCGCTGTGGCGGTGTTAGAGTTTAGGGACGTTTTGCCCTAATCGCCGCCGCCGTGTTGTGCCTCCGGAAAACATACCTTGAGATACCTTCGGTAAAACAGGCATAACTTTTCGCTCGTTTATCCGAAAAATCTGAAATTTTTTCAGCAGCTTCTTGACACCATTTGGACCCGGCTGCCGGAAGTCCCAATGACCGCCGAGAGTTCCGACGATATGCGAGCAAGCCCAGTGGACTACCTACGTGAACAGTGGTTTTCCATTGAGCCGAAAGTTCCGACGATCTATGTTGTAACTTCTGACTCATATCTAAACGGTTGGATTTGCCTTTGAGTATAAATAGCTCTCTCCTCTCTTCTAACCGAGAACCACTTAATCACTATTCACCAACCTTCGTCCAAAATAGCTCCCAAGCATTCAAGGCACCCCTCTTCTCTTCCCTTTGGTCCAATCTTCAATTTCCCTAGGGTCTTGAGTGAAAGGAGAGTGGATTGAGTGAATCACTTTGGCAAGCTTGGGTACTTGATTTCTTTGTCAAGCTGGTTAGATTTGCGTCTATTACTCTTGGGTTCTTGGAACCCTAGCCGGCTAGGTGTCTCCCAAGAGCTTCCATCATGTGGAAGAGCCTTGAGAAGTTTGTATTACCCTTGATTTCTTAGTGAAAAGCTCAAGTGACCTTTGTGGCTGCTTTGAGAGAGGCAAGGAGGTGGAAGAGACTCCAACCTTTGTGGTCACCTCAACAACAAGGACGTAGGAGCTCCTTTATGGGATTGCCGAACCTTAGGATAAATTCTTGTGTCCCGTGTGCTTGTTGTTGTTGTTGTGATTTATGCTATCATATTTGTTCTAGTTGGTTTGTCTTCCTCCCCAACTCTCCTCTTAGGGTTTGGACTCAATCTATGAAGTGGTGACCTTCTGGCGTCAAAGAAGCAACCCCAACACTTCACCTTACCACTAGGGAGTGGGGTTGTAAGATATCTTTCACTCAAAGTTTGTTTTAGCACTTGTAGTGCAATTCTAGTAGGTGTCAGAACTCCCGGTTGTTTGCGTCG